AAGACGCTTATGTAATGAACTACCTCCGCTCTGCTTCTCCGCCTTGGCTGAGTGAAAGAAGAGGATATTAAAACGCAGCGTCTAATGTATTCATAAGATATTCAAATGCCGAGCACGGTGCCGACTTGCTTCTGGATCAGTTAGCTTTACAGGAGAAGGTGTTCGGGGTCACTAACACATTTTCTAATATTTCAAAATGAATGCACAAATGCCTTCCCAAACAGTCTCTTTTAAGGGCGGCGTGGCAATTATACAATTTTCTGCCATGCTGAGCCCCACAGGTCTGTTAAAAGTCTGAGCGAGGCCGACTGCTTCTGGTCTGCATGATATCAGGTCACTCGTTAATGGCTGTCAAAGAGAGAGAGAGAGAGAGAGAGAGAAGGAGGAGAAGGTTTTTCTTAGAATTAACGCTGCTTTTCATTCACAACCCAGAGGAATCGAGATGACACTTTGAAAAAAAAAAAAAAAACACTTCCTGGATTATCACCTTGTAGCACGTTGAACACACTGCACACTGATCTCATGATCTCTGTAGAAACACAGCTTCCCCTCCCCAGATCTCTGTCACCCGTGGAGGGGGGTAAAGGGGAGTATGGGATGTGGCCAGACCAGGCTGAATCATTGCGACTACAGCCAGGGGGGCCAAAGGGGAGTAAATGAGGCAGATCCGATGCTGGAGCCTGCGTCACACTCTGGGGAAGAAGACGCTGTGTGGGAAAATGTACTCATCATGCTGTGCTACCTCAGGAGCATGTAAATCAACAGCATGCATCTCTAGGCATTGTTTTGTTTTTTAGATTTAAAATCATTCCAATATTAATTTAGCAGATATCTAATACATCCTAACTAAATATATGAGTGAGTGGTGAAGTCAAACTCCCTCTGGGTTTATTGTTTGTTGAGAGACGACTGACTCTACCAACTGAGCTGCTGCCCATGTCACATGTGCTTTATTTTGTCATTCCAATTTGTGGTAGCTTTGTCCATAATTTTTTTACCTTAATAATGTCATTTTTCTTTTTCATTTTTACAAGTGCTTTAAAAAAATACAGATGAAGGTTCAGGTACCCGTCGAAAGCACCAAAGTGATTTTGAATCATTTATTGAGTTTGTGTTTGCCATGGGTTCAGCAGATGTCCTAATTATACAAGTGGTGTTTTTTTAGGAGAAATAAGCCCTTTGCTGTGATTGTCCTTGGTCCTCGTATGATGAATATGTGTGCAGAGTGACGGTTACAGCACAGAGCTGGATCAGGATTGTACCATCATGCAGCAGCATCAGGGTGAATCAATGGCTTGTTTTTTTTTTGTATTTCTGTCTTACAAACAGCATGTGGGTCCTTTTCTTTTGTATTGATTTTGATTTTGAAAAGAGAAGTGGAAAAGAAGTAGGAATCTCAAAAAGCTTGTCACGCAGAAAATAAAAAAAACCCTTCAGTGGTTTTACCTGCAGGAAATATGTCTTTGATGCAGTGTGTCGTATAACCTTCAGACACGAGTATCTGAAACTTCACTCAATCAGATGTTTGGTTCCTGTGTCACATTTCAAACCCTTATTGATGGAGTTGAACACAAAAGTATATTCGTCAAAATGAAAGGTCACCAGTTTAAATAAGTTTCAGAGCTCCCCATAACTTGTGTGTGAAGTTTCTTGTTCTAAATCCACTCTGATCCTGTATTTGGTCATGTCTATAAACCCCTCTATTTCAGCCCTACTCAGAACAGGCTGTTTCTGTGTCTGTACCTTTAAATATGTAAATGAGCTGTGTCTGACCACGCCCCATCTCTGGAAGGGCTAGGGTGGTTTATGCTTTCTCTGTGTCCTATTGTTTACGGTGAGAAGGCAGACTCAGAGGACAGAACAAACACCTAGCTGTGGGAGTGTCACCCACCTGGGGGAGGGGTTACTGCCCTTTGTGATGTCATGAAGGGAAAATCTCTAAATGGCCTGTTTGAACACACATTTTCTGAAAAGTGGAGCAGGCAAAAGACGGAGAGGATGGACTTTTCTCATAATTTTGGGGTTTGTAGACCGACTAGGGACACATATTAGTGTGTGAGAAACATCGTAAAGTGTGACATTGCTGGGGTGTCAGCAGTGGTTAGTGCGCAGCCCTATATACGTAGGCTATAATCCTCCAAGCAGGCTACTCTGTAAAAATCTATCCTGAAGGTGGAGTTCCTCTGAACATACAAGTTAAAAATTAAGGCCTCTGCAGGGGCTGACAGCGAACGTCAGATTAAAGCAGTAAACACAGACATAAGCATCATTTAGTGCCCATAAACCCGGTGCAGATTCAGGCTGCAGTAGAGAAAGGTCCATATTTCAAGGACGCCGTCTGGATGGGGGCCGAGAAAGCAGCCAAATTGGATGAAGTTAAGCTGCACTAACTGCTTGTTGTGACTCTGGAGAGCAAACTCAATCGTCCCTTTGACCGGCCGCCTCGCGCTGAGAAGGGAAACATTGTTCCTGTGTTTTGGGTGGATTATGAGGGGACATGTCACAACAGCAGGTTTTCGACAAGGTCTTGGGTGTCCGCTGTCGTGAGCATTACTGTCAGGAATGCCGATGAGGCCTAATGAGGTTTTAATCCAGTCGGAGTCATTAGTGGCAGGTCATCTTAAAACAATCTGGGGTCAGGGCTGCATTAAGAGCTACAGAGGGCCGCTCCAACTGGGTCACTGAGCATGACACAGACACTTCAGCACCTCGGCAGATTCTGCGAGGCCGGGGCAACAGGGCTTTGTCTCTGGTTGGTTGGTTTTTTGGTGTCAAAAAATGGCGCATTTGTCTGTATAATTTGTTTCTGGAGCTTATTTCACCACCAAAAGGCAATGCAACCGATCCCCACAGGCTTCTGTTTCATCACTTGTGAAGCACTCAAAATAAGACGATCAACTTAATCTGTATCATCACGCTGCCATTGAAAAATTCACGTCTTTTTTTTTTTTTTTTTTTGGGTGCAACTTCCTCATTCACAAGCTCTGCTGTCACTTGAAAAGCACTCCTCTGATCCATGAAAGACCCAGGAAACAGAAAATCAAAGCACGGCTCCTGACAAGTGGCTTTTACTCCGAGAGAGAGAGTTCATGATGTCCCCAGGACGCCTTTTCAAACTTGCTAAGACGTGTTAATTAATAAGTTTTGCCCCCCAGAGCAACGTGATTCATCAAGATTTCACGGTATGTTTACAAAAGGCTTTTTTTTTTCCGACGCTGTTTTGAGTGCAGATTTGCAGTAAGCGTATATTTTGAAAGCATCATCTCCTCGGGGAACCGAAGAGATTGCCCTTTTGTTGTCTCACCAGGGTTTAAAGAAAGTGCTGTAAATATGACGGTGATTATAATCAACATGATTATGAGAGTGATGTAAAGGTAATGGAGGCTGTGAAAGACACAGAGGGCACAGCTGTGGAAGAGAAGTACACTGTAAAAAAACATCTCTGACCTGTCAAAGCACTCTGTCTGATATACTTCAGTGTTTTTAACCAAAACGACGTCAAAGCTGCTTTGATAAGGAGTTTATCTTTCCATTGGACAAAGTTATTGTGTGTTTCCAAACCAGTCAAACTCTGCAGCATATATTATCATTCTGCTCTTTATTTTAAGTTTTCAGACTCCCCCTAAGCTATCCATATTGGTTTAGTCCAACGTCTCATGGACTGCATCTCCAGCAAACATTGAACAAAGTCAAACAAAGGTTTTTTTAATCACTGAAAGAATTCAACAACGAGCGATTGGGAGGGGGTTTACGGACCGTCTCCACTTGACTCTTGCGTTCTCCGTGCACATCGTTAAACGGCTGCCTTATGTTCTCCGCTCTTTTCTTGATATTCTGATTCTGTTGAATTACACAAGGCGTTGACATGAAGGCAGATTTTAGTGTCACATCGTGTCAAATAGTGGACTCTGTTGCTTCTAGTTCTTCTTACATCATGATTTGACTTGGGAGACCCCCGACCCCCCCTCCTGTCCGACAGGGATAGTCTCCGGCTGTGAGGTGCATGTGTGAACAAACCAGGTCAGGAGGATTTCAGGAGCAGTCCTCTCCATATTTTCTAGACATTTTCTCTGTATAGTGCATTATGTGAAAACAGCTTAACAGAGTGTTTAGACTAGCAGTTCTGCAAGAGAAGCTGTCGCTGTATTATTCATTACATTTAGAAGTACAGGAGAAGCTGTAGATGACACACCAGTGATGGAAGTAGTGACAGTAACAGCAGCTGACGTCATGTTTCCATGTTCCTTAAAGCCTGCTAACAGTGGAGTTGAAACACTTCCTCCAAAGGTTCCTAGTCCTTGGAGATGTTCCTGCAGTGGAAACACTACAGCACTTGTTTTTTGTTTTTGTTTTACAGCAGCAGTATTAGTTATTACAGCAGTTGTATATGTCACAGTTAAAGCAAAAGACGGAGCTTTGTGCTGAGGCCCCACCGCAGGATAAAACTCCCTCGACATGAGGTGTTTAAGTTTCAGTAGCATCGTTTACCTCTGGCTTCTGACAACCAGAAATATCACTGTGTATGTGCACTGTTAGGCAAATTTTTTACTGCACTTAATCCAGGCGAGCCTGACACTCGGGATGAGTCACGCAAAGAGCCGGAGATAATTTGTGTGCATAAGACTGATGTCAGGAGGTTACAGGTACAGCCCGCTCTCTCTTTAAGATGCTTTCTCAATACTTCTGTCATCAGGGAGACAGAGTGGCTGCTCGTTCTGCTGGAAATGTTGGAATTAATTGAACTGAATTGTTATTCATAATCTACATATGGCTGTTTTTCCTCCCTTGCCGGATGGCGTGACGCTATCTTCCGCTGTTTGAGCTGTAATTGAAATTTCGATCATGAGCTGTAAACATTTAGAAGCGCCCCTGTGAATATCCCTCAGCTCGACACAAGCCGCTGCAGAGGAGTCATTGAGGCTGATTAGTGGCTGGCTGTATGCATGTGCGTGCGTCGAGGGTTTTGCCCTCCACTCATCGACGTTTTCTTGTCCAAACAGCTCCGTCCCAGGTCAGCGAGGTCATCAAGGAGAAGGTGCAGCAGCGCAGCATCCAGCTCTCCTGGCAGGAGCCGCACCAGCCCAACGGAGTCATCACTGAGTACGAGATCAAGTACTACGAGAAAGTGAGTTTGAAGAACATTTCTTTTGTTTGTGTCTCACTCCCCTCTCTTCACAGCCTAAGACTCAGGAAAGTCTTTTACCTCATGAATGTAGCTCCAACATTTCAAACACAAACTCTCATTTTTAAGATTGTACTACGGAAGCCTAAAGAGCCAAAAAAAACTAAATAAGTCAGTGCTCTATTCTTAGTCTAGTTTTTGCCCCTATAGGTTTAAAGATGGCAGCTTTTTTTTCCAGAATAATTTATAAATTCTGTTGTTGATTAATCTTTGCCAATTTGAATACTTAGAAGTTTTACCCTGAAAAACTTTTTTAATCCTCAACATTTCTTTCCACACTTATTCCATTGATAAAAAAATACGAAAGATTATTTTTTTAAAATCTCTCGTCTTGAGTCATAAACACAGGAGAGAGAAATATTTATTCTGAACTTTTGTGTTTCTCATTTACCTCTCAGAGCTTCTGTATTTTTGTGCTGCATGGGATCAACAATAAGAAATAATACGGGGTGCAGGTGGCCTAGTGGTTAGTGTGTGCCCCCCACGTAGAAAGGCTGTGGTCCTCTTTGTGGGTAGCCCGGTTTTTGAATCCGACCTATTACATGCAATCTTTTTCATGTCACCCTTTTTTCCGAATCAGAAAAGTCACCGGGAAAAACTTATATTATATATCCGCCTGCCAAATATTCAGTTAAGTTTTTTACTTTTTTTCATAATTGCAAAAAAGATACTTTAAGAAATTAAGTTCTGTTTCTCTTTTATTGACACTGAAATGTGAAGTTTATTAAGGAAGCCTATTGCATTCACATGAGAAAATTTAATAATAAATAAATAATTGTTATTATTTAAAAAAGCAAAAACTAAATGCAATACTACAAATTACTCTCACATAAAAAATATGTGTATGCACCTGTTCATGAGTCACCAACACAGGAAAGAGAACAATCTAGATCAAACTCAGATCAAATTGAGCTTCTCTTTTTCCTCTCAGAGCTCTTGTATTTCGTCGTGCACAATTTAAACAATAACCGAACACAAAAGTGAGTTTGAAGGAGACTTGTTTGCGTCCTTGTCTCTTTGTGAACAACGCCCCCCCCATCTCTCACTTTTGCCGACTCTTCATTTTGTATTCTGTCTACATGCTGCTGTGAGTGGAATTCACAAGATTCTGCAAGTACCTTCTTTGTCTCATAATTGCAATAATGAATGAGACGCTCATAAGATTTTAATCAGGCTGTAGTCCTTCACAGCCGCCCCCGCACACATGTTAGCATACACACGCACACACACACAATCAGAGTCTGCTGCACTGCCAGAATTAGCAATCTGTTACTGTTATCTCCTTCCACATAAATATCTCCCTGTGTTTCAAGTGTGAACACATCAGCTTTTTTACAGCGAGGTTTAATGGAGTGAATTTAACCTGGCAAATCAGAGAGCTGTGATGCCAGTCCCGCTGGCTGCAGCCTCTCACAAACACCGACCAATCAGTGTCCTGCGTCACGTACTGTGGCCGCTGTGCTCTGCCCAGCTGTAAAAGTGGGAAATTGGAAACAACAACTGCACCCCTAACGGACCCTGGCATTCCATTTGGGCTTCTTGCCGAGCAAAACATTTACAGATCAACAACAAAGTACACGATAAGAGCAGCCGCTGCATTTAAATAGAATCTATTATTCTGGAGATATTGAAGTTTTTACATGTTGTCTTTAATGCCGGCTGTATCATGGTAAAACAATCTTTTCACTTACTGTTACAGATGTTTCTCTGTAGTATTTTTAAGAAAACTACATATAGAAACGTAAACATGACAAACAAAAGCAAGGACTATTGATAGCAGTAAGGTACTTTCAGCTTAACATAATTTAGCGCAGCATGTTACTGAAGAAGTTTCTTTGCCTGTGTCTTCGCCATCTTTTTAACCTATGTTAATAAAAGTAAACACCGATCTTCCTTTCCATTTTATGCTGTAGAGACGTAGACTTGTTTGGGGTGTCAGTCATTGGCTGGTGATGCATTATTCTTCTGAAGGACCATGGATCAGCTACATCTGATCTACTTAAGCAAAATAAATCTTTTCTTAAACGCACAGTTTGTAGATTCCACCACCAGGGGGCTCTCAATCAAAACAATAACAAAAGATGATGTCGAGGCTGGCGGGGAATCATGGGAGTGATTCTCTCTGCTACTCCACCCCCCCACCCACGATTAAAATTAACTCTCAGTCGACCGTAGTCAAGAAGAACGCAAGAAACCGACCTGAGGAAGAGAATATGTTTATCGACGAGCTAATGTATCCAAGTACAATTTACATGATTTTTATCACAACAGCACATACAGCAACATGGAGATTTCAGTAGCTATTTCTACTTCTTAATACAGCGGTCTTTGACGTAACATCCGGTGTTTCCATGGCAACAATAAACATGTCGTGTCTGTCATGGCGGCCCTGTCAGACAGACAGAAAGATGAACACTGCAGGTTAGTTTGACTCATACAGGACTGTGGAAATACTCTTTATACTAAATCCATAAAGAGAATAGATAAACAGTCAAATCAACAAATCAAAGTTTAATCTTAAGAAGTAGGAAGATAAAAGAATAAAAGAGCTTTGTTTCCCTTGACGACCAGTTTAGATGTGGACTCTGTCGTCTCCTCAGCTCAGACAGTGGAAGTCTGTACGAGCTGTGCATGACTTCAGGACTTCTGTTAACGATTGCTGAATGTGAGCAGTCTCACCTTAAATTGCCTCCCTGTTTATCTAAATGAGTGAGTCATTGTTAAATCACATTCATTCCATTCACAAAGAGCAGCTAATTACATCTTCTGTGTCTCTGAACCTTTTTTTTATCCAAGCTTAGACGTTAACACAAAAACACTTTGTGTCTTTTTTTTTTTTTTTTTTGACCCCAAAACGGTGAAGGTCGTTCTCTGAATTAAAAGCTGATTTCATCTCGTTCATGCAGGATCAGAAGGACCGGATCTATTCCACGGTGAGGTCAAAGTCCACGTCAGCCACGGTGAACAACCTGAAGCCCAGCACGGCCTACGTGTTCCAGATCAGGGCCTTCACAGAGGCCGGGTACGGCACCTTCGGGCCCAGACTGGAGATAACCACCAAGGAGGAGACCACAGGTACGACTAATAAACACACCGCTGCTTTTTGTTGTGTAGAATGTGTTTGTCCCTGCTCCTCTTTGTTTGCACCTAGCCGCTGATCGTTTGAATACTCAGCTCACAGAGAGCATCAGTATGGGCTCCACATGCACCGCTAACGGAGCGAGAGTTTGACCACAGTGGCATATCCGCACGTCGTTTTTTTGAACACAGGCTTTTTAAATTTATGCACAACCTGTTAATGTCTCCAGCTCCTGTAGGAATGGCCCAGGGAAATTATTCGCTTTCGAGCAAAGCAAACAGAAATTGCCTCGACTTTAGTGCTGACAACACGTCATGGGAAAAAATGAATGAGCACAAGGACAAGCAACTGTAGCGTCATGAGGATGAACTCAATTTCAATCTAATCACTGACATTAGCGCTGCCTGGAGTGAGCGCTGCGGCGTGTTATTGTGAGTTTGGGTGAGGGGTTCCTCTGCGGGGGTGTTTGTAGGAAAGTTCATGTCAATCTTCAGACCTCCGTAAATGAAGTCAAAACATCTTTTATTTGTTAAGATTCCTGTATGAAACATTTTGGTAATAATGTGGCACGCTCGACATAATTAGCTCTATAGAGTCAATGACATCAGAAAGTTGGGATCGTGTCCGTGCAGTGATGTCAGTCAGGACATGGTAAACCTCACTATTATGTCATTTACGCTCTTATTTTGAAAAACACTAAAATCAATATGGATTCATTTTTTGACTTACATGACGATTTTAGCTAGAAAGGTTTCAACCTATTGGTGCGTTTTGGTTGTTCATTCACAAGCTAACAGAGTTCTGGGTGCCTGAACAATGCAAAGTTTTAAGTTCCACATCGAGTACCGTCTCCATCATCGTGTTAACTGGCAACATGCAGCTCTTCTGGAAACAGAGACATTACACACATGTGCATTACGCTTCCAGACAATAGACACACGCTACAACAACAATGGCGTGTAGTTTCAGAGGTTTGTGGTTTAAAAGTTTGAGAGTCACTGCTCGACTGTGTTCATATTTTACAAGCAGCTGAAAAATGTGCCAGCAGCAGGAGCAAAGTTCCTCTTTCAGGGTTTCAAACACATTACAGGCCGTCAAACACATTCTCTAGTTGGAATTTTTTTTATCATTTTGGGAAGGATTTTTCTGTCCTTCCTACCAGTTTTAAAAAAATTGATTGAGATTTTAAAAATACATTAGGGCCCACGTCCTGAAGAGTTTGCTGCTGTAATACTCATTTTTGCCACAAGAGGCAGTAGTGATGACTTGGCTATGTTCCCAAATTGGCCTGAAAAAAAAATTGTGTCTTGTGGCGCTTTCATTTATTTTTTTATTTCCCAGAAATAAAAGACAGAGGAAGTTACTTTGGAAACCAATTTGGATTAAAAAAAATGAAGTCGCGAGACAGGAGAAAGAACAATTAAGAGTACGATTTCATCAATCAACATTTCTCCCCCACACTTCTTAGAGATTCCATATTCTGTTTCTACAGTTAATCAAATGACAGGAAATGTGTTTATTGTGACATTTCTTTTCCTCCTTTCATATTTGCTGAGCTCAAAGCCAAATGCTAGTGAGAGTTGGGGACATTTCATTTTTGTTTTTGGACCCAACGTCCAGCCTGCCTACCCACCATCTCACACACTGACACCCCCCCCCCTACATGCAGCATTCCTGCATTAGGACACATTAATTACTCATACCACATGCCGGGTGTGTCCTGATACAAGGTTACAAGTTTGCAGTCCAGTCAAAGCGCCCTTGACCAAAACGGTGAACCGCAAGCCTTCCTCTGTGACGGCCCCCATGAGGGGAAGGTGTACGATAAGTCAGAGTCGTCGTCTTTACTCCTCACATAATAATAAGACAACAGTTGAGATGTTTAGATATCAAAATGTTTGCAGCATTTTTCCAGCCTCCCCCTTTCCTCCTCGGGCAGACCACAAAAAAAGTAATTCTCTTCAATTTAAACAGCTCAGATCCACTTGATTTAAAATGCATGAATTTCCTCCTCATACACCGCTCGCGTTGACTTTATTCGACGCTACGAGGAGTCATTCTTGGGAGCAATCGGCAGTTTGTCAACGCAAACAGTTTGAGCACTGAGAGAGCGCTCCGGATGGGAAACAATCCAACCTGAATGTGTCTTTGTTTGAGATGAAGGGCATCGCCGTCGCCGTCTGGGACTATTAAGCCCACTTTCTGAAACAGTAGAGCCGTGTGTATGAGGACGGCTCAAAAATAGAAGCGGGCCCTCCTTCGCTCCCTCTGAGGGAAGGAGAGGACGGGGGAGGGGTTATCAATCTCCACGCCTCTCAATGGGCTCAATTATGTCCTGCAGATTGTTCTCTTTGATGTGCTGAGGTTCACTCTGTCTTTCTGTGTGTATGTGTGTGTCCGTCTCATCAGCTGCCATCGTGTCCAGCGAGCAGAACCCGGTCATCATCATCGCAGTGGTGGCCGTGGCGGGGACCATCATCCTGGTGTTCATGGTGTTCGGCTTCATCATCGGGAGAAGGTACGCTCTCGCGGGCCCCATTGACTCTCCGCTCCTGTGAGTCTGCGCTTGTCAATTAGCCTTTCTGTCACTCACAGGCCCTCCACGTCTTGTCTGTGGAGCCGTCACACGCACACACACGTGCACCCATCATCTCGTGGCATGCTGTGCTAATGCCGTTGTGATGCATCATTATTTTTTTTAGTTTTTTTTCTCTCTCTCTCTCTCTCTCTCTCTCTCTCTCTCTCTCTCTCTCTCTCTCTCTCTCTCTCTCTCTCTCTCCAGCCCCAACAAAAAATTTCAAGCTTTTTTTTTTTGCAGAGCCATTATGAGACGAGCACCCCCAGAGCGAGACAGCTTTGGCTCTGCATTCCTGTGTGTGTGTGTGTGTGTGTGTGTGAGAGAGAGAGATCCTGAGGGCAGGATGAAGTATGACACACAAAGCAACCCTGCGCATTGTCATTATCACTGTTTCCTCACACACTTCATCTGTGTTTTCATCTGCACGGATGGCATTTCACCAGAGCTTGCTTTTTATGGTGGATTCATCAGATGTACCCCCTCCCCCCCGTTTTCTGAGTTTCATTTTAAAAAAGAATTTCTGGTATTTTAAACCTCCTGTAAATAATTTGGGGTCTAAATGAAACAAAAAAAGGTACACCAAATGTTGGAACTGCTCCGGTAGATCAGTCAGCCTGCAGCTACTAAACAGACTGTAATGTCTGCAACAAAAATCCCTGCAGGAAAGACGCCCAATCAAAAGTAAATCCACTAAAAGAAACACATAAAATGATTTCAGATTCTTTATTATAAGCCATTATAACCCTTATAATAAAGACCTTTGGAGTATTTCCTTCCTCATTTTTACATGTTTCATGCCGGTTTCCTCTTCTTGTGTGTGTGTGAAACATTTTCCCCTTTTCCAAGAGTGCCCAACACACTTTTTTACACTTTCTCATCTACGTTGACCACACTGAGCAACCAGTCAACCATATGAGCCAAATGGACCAAAAATAACATCACAATACTTTTTAGCTGAATCGCGATACATGATTTATATCTCAATATTTATTCCCTAAAGAAATAAGACAAACATAGTTTTGCTCTAAGTCAAATGCCAAATGTCCCACATGTTCCTTTATCAACAACCTGCTGCACAACGTCAACATGTACATGACAAGTGACAAAATGAACTACTATAGTGTGTGAAATAAAAATATGATTAGATAAAAGTTATCCTCATTAAATTAAATAAATAAAAAGAACAAACCTCTCACAGCTGTGTGATTTGTTCTGCAGGCAGATCTTGAGTTTTGATCAGAGAGGGAGAGAGAGAGAGGAGAAGCAGAGTGAAGAGGGAGAGACACAGAGAGGAGAAACAGGCGCACTGATGCCTCTACAGAAGAAACATACAATGTCATTTTAATGCAACATGAACTATATCGATATAAACAACATCGTCTTTCCCTGGTACAAGTTAGAAAATGTATCGTTGTATCTTAAAAACTATGTATATTTCCCAGCCCTGCTGCATGCCTGTGGTTTTGGCTGCAGACTGAAACAATCTGCTGGAGCATTTCTCAAAGTTTTTGCACCTTCTTTGTCATTTCAACCTCAAATATGTAAAAGGGAGGAGGATCCAGGGTGGAAAAATAAGAGTTTTCCTCAAACTCAAGGTCCACTGAGCAGCTTTTTCCTCGTTAAGGATAGATGTAATGACTAATGACTAAAAGGCATTGTCCAAAAACAAACACACACAAACACACACACACACACACATGCATATCTATCACGTGTGTCGTTCAGAAGTCATGATTATTTTTACTTTATGCTCAGAGATCGACTTTGTATTGCATGTCACCTTCTTTTGAGACCTTCAACACGTTAATATTACAAACTAATATTACGAGACATGTTGAACAGTCCTGCACAGTGCATGTATTATTTGACCCTTTACATGATTTGCTACTTTCCCAGCCTTTTTCAGGCTCCTGCTGCTCAGCTGGGCTCATGACAGATTTGTCACGCACTGCATTAGCTGCGGCATTAGAAATCTTGTAATTTAGGGAATTTTATTTCCTGCGTGCAATCAGTTGATTCTGACGCTCTCTTCCTCTCCTTCCCCCTGTGCAGACACTGCGGGTACAGCAAAGCCGATCAGGAGGGAGACGAGGAGCTCTACTTTCAGTGTAAGTGCCCGAATCCACACACACACACACACACACACACACACACACACACACTCAGAGACAGAGACATCTCAATCACGCATACCAAACAGGAAGGGGTGCCTTAAAGCCCATTAGCACCCACAGGCATGACTGTCTGATCCCAGTTCATTTGATTTGAGTCAAAGCCGGAACAATCAGGCTAACATCTGCTGCTGATTGGCTAGCTCAGACTGTGTGATGAAGTTAGGAAGCTGCAGATGCTTGAATGTGACAGCTGTCAGGGAGAGAGCCGAGGTTGACCCCAGAGGAAGAGGAGTTGTTTTGTGGAAACCCGACTTAGAGAGCGACAAAGTGTACACACACAGTCTGCTCCGTCGCAGGAGCTGCATCTCTCAGTGAGAGTTTTTTTTTTACACCACCACCCCCCCCTAATGATGCCCCTGGAGATCCAGCTGCAGACAGCTTCCCCAAAGTGGAGTCATAATGATCCGCGCTGTAGGCAAACTGCTGATTTGGAAAACAAAGGGTCAGGGGTGTCACGGAGTGCGGGGGCTAAAGCAGAGGCGGCGCGGCGAGCTGCAGGTCGGCTACCGCTAAGTATCTGACAAACCTGCTGAGGATGAAAAAATACTGTGAGCAAACACAAACAAGGCTAGTGTCTGGCTTATTGGAAGGATCCATCGAGCAATATCAAATGACGCAAAAAAAAAAGGCTGCCGGGGTCGACAGGAGCAAGATAGCGCGAGAATTCAACATGCAGAGCCAATTTGTCCGCCATGTAGCAGCGAGGCAGCGGCGATAAGACATCTCCTATCAGATCTGCCGACATCTCGGATGGACGAAGCAATTATGGGAGCAAGTGGAGGGAAATGTGTGCTGCCGGCGTCCCCCTCACTGGAGCACAATGCATTTGTTGTATTTACACTGTCGGATTCCTCCATGTGGGGGGGTGGGAATAAGTGTCTCTCCAGCTGGACGAGCTCTACACTTCTACACTCCTGCTCCACCATTGTTGTTGTTGTGTTTATCCAGCATATCAGAGCCGCACTCATCTCATTAAATTTTAAAAAGTTGACAGGTTATATTGTTATCAGTGGAATTTAAACTGCACATAATCGCCCCCGTGAGTCGCCCGTTCCCTTAATAGAGCGTAATATTGTAATTTGCGGTTAATTTGGAGCTCAGTGCTATACAGTAACCCCCACCCCCCCTCCCCCCCTACTACCCCATCGCTGGCCTCCCTTTAACCTTGTTTTCTTTGTTTTCTTCAAACTGCTTCCGCTCTCACTTCATTGAAATTCATGAACTTTTCTCATATCAGTGTTTTAGAAAATCACAGGGACATTGCTGTTTTTTAGGGGGGGGGGTCCAGATGTTCCACTTCAGTCAAACAAAATAATTAATTTCCCCACGTCGACACGTTTTTTATTTAGTTCTTCTCTATGCAGACTGGAAGGCAGGAGTTTGTTGTATTCATGCTGTAAGGTTCTTTATTGTACCACAGCTTTAAATAATTTGACTAAAGCGTGTCGGACATTATCTGCACATCACAAAGTCAAGTTCCTTTTGTTTTCATATAAACCATATGCAAAGTACACAGTGAGATTTTGTTCCTCTTGGACTGTGACGCTACATAAGACAATCATCAAGAATGAGGAGGTAGTAATATGCAGTGACAAGAAGTTGGCTAGAGACAGTGAAATTAGTAAATAAATCAAAGTGGACTGAAAAACAGTTAAAGCAGTAACAACTATTTAAAGTGACTAACACATTCAAGTGCTTTTTTTCCCATAGTTCTGAATTTAAGAAGGTAGGAATGATGTTTAACATAATGTGAAAAAGTCCAGAAATAAGTGTAAAATGTTCAGATACTGCATTTCAGCTTCAGTCAGATGTTTTGCTCGAATCCTTTTGGTCACTTCTTTGAAAGCTCAGAGCTCACGTCAAGTCAGTGAATCAGCTTTTTTACAAATCTGATTGGTTCAGCTCAGACCCACAGAATGAAACAGTGCTGCTAATTTGACATTAAACATTTGCGTTGGTAGGGTAGGGGTTAGTGTGCACACCCGGTGTACAGAGGCTGTAGTCCTCGAAGCGGCAGTCAGGGTTTAAATCCGACCTGTGGCTCCTTATCTGCATGACATTCCACACACACTCTCTCTCTCTCCCTGATTTCTGACTCTATCCACTCTCTACAATAAAGGAACAAAAAGCCAAGAAATAAATCTTTAAAAGAAACATGAGTGCTCTATAGGTCACACATGAACACATTGAACTCCTAAGAACAAATTAAGGAATGACTCAAGGTCAACGAAGGTTTCAAACCACTTCTGTTCAGATGGTTTCTAAAGTGAAGATATGTTCAAGGTCATAAAGTTGACTGAGTATCTCAATGTTATAAGCTCTTCTACTAATGAAATAATGATTAAGACTCTAAGTGTATGAACCAGCACACGTGTTCTCCAGTGAGTGAGTGTGAGCTGCAGGCAGGTGAAAGGTCACCGACAGCTTTATAAAATCATAATGTGCACAGGTTACTCAAACCTCTGCTTCTCATTTGACATGAAAAAAAAGCTTTTTTTCTGACACCGGCTGCTGACTGTTCACTTATTCCCTCTGCTCTTTGTGATCGTTTGTGCCTGTCAAATGGGCCGCCGCCGCAGCGCAGTGTTGCATATTAAAACCGTAACAGTAATCCTCTTACCTTTCTACAGTTAAATTTCCAGGCACCAAAACCTACATCGACCCCGAAACCTACGAGGACCCCAACAGAGCCGTCCATCAGTTTGCCAAGGAGCTGGACGCCTCGTGCATTAAAATCGAGCGGGTTATCGGAGCAGGTGAGCCCCCCCTCCCCCCTCCATCTCGTGTCTTCTCCAGCTATCATACATCACGCTGACAGGCAAATATTTACACCTTGTGCAGGGACACAGCTCCATGCGTTGTTTATTGATGGTGCAATTGTAAAGAGGGGGAAAAAGTTCATTGCAATTAATGTGTGGGCTCCGTCTGAAGGGGCGGCCGCTGAGATTCCTGCAGCAGAAAAATTGCTGCCACATGGGTTTTTTTAACACAGGCGGTCAATGACAGTATCTATGCATCTCTAGCATGTCTTATTATAGGTCTCGGTTACACTCCCCTGAGTATAACAAGATGTCGCACTCCAATTTGTATTCCACACCGCACAGCTGCTTCGTCTCAAAATACACTAATAAATTTGTCATTGTGAAGTGGCTTGATGTTCCCCCCCCCCCCTTTCATCGCCACCGCCCCCCCCCCCCCCCCCCCCACTCATGAATGGTTCTTCATCCCGCCTCAGGAGAGTTTGGGGAGGTGTGCAGCGGGCGGCTCAAGCTGCCTGGAAAGCGCGACGTGTCGGTCGCCATCAAGACGTTGAAGGTGGGCTACACGGAGAAGCAGAGGCGGGACTTCCTGTGCGAGGCCAGCATCATGGGACAGTTCGACCATCCTAACGTGGTTCACCTGGAGGGAGTCGTGACGAGAGGTAATCACGCTTAGATTAGATAATAAATGTAAAAAGTGTACAGTCAACACGACATGAGTCTTGGTCTAAAGAACTGAGGAAATGCTGTCTGAGGTAAACAGACCTCACGAGCGCTGCTGCAGCTGAAGAGTGTTTTTGTCCCTCGTCCTGTTTAAATAAACGTAAAACAAAGAGTATGAGAGATCGAGCATTCACTGTTTGTTTAGGGGAAAGCAGAGCTTCTGTCTTTGCTTTATCCTGCTGTGTGTTTGTTGATGACATCATGTCATGACACTGTGTGTGGTCCCCAAATGAAAAAAAAAAAAAAAAACACACAGCAGGAGTGGCATCAGTCCCTGAAAAACTCTTATTACTTTTGAAAAAAATCCCTTCTTAAGAAATTCAAATTAAAAGTGTAGAAGCCAGAGCATAACTTATGGAACATACATAACCTTCAAGCTGCTCGTAAGGAAACTTAAGACAGATGAGACAATCAAAAATACCAGTATAGGCTCTGTATTTCTACTGTTATACACCTTTTGATCTGCTCATCAGAAGTCAGAACTCACTTCTTATCACTCACTAGCCAATCACAGCTCATTCCCACAACAAGGCTGTCCATTTAACCATGACTTCCTCAACGCTCCCTGCTACACCAATGCTGCTCACATCGTGCTGCTGCAGGCAAAGCTTTGCCTCCACCAGTCCAGCCTCCTCCTCCCTAAAAGTCTTTGATCCACCTTCATATGGGGGTTAGCACTGTGTTTGTAACAGTCAGAGTATGACATGTTTTTCTGTTGATGATGTAGTTACTCATGTATGTAAGACCGTGAGAAGACTCTTAAATTCAGTGACGAGTTGGAACAGGATATGTTGCTGCTCATGTACGATTAGTGAATATATCGCCATGGAGACCTGACATTTTCATGGTCAATGTTTAGTACTGCAGAACGAGAACAGCCATGTGGAAACCCCCACTCTGTTGTCTGTCAACTATCTGATGCTATCCAGCTAACCCGGTAGACTTATGCTACCTAATCCCACTTCTCCGCCTGCTCAGAACAGGCTGTTTCTGTGTCTGTACCTTTAAATGTAAATGAGCTGTGTCTGACCACGCCCCCTCTCTCGAAGGGGGATGTGGCTTGGGCTTTCTCGCTCCATGTCCTATTGTTTACGGTGAGAAGGCAGACTCAGAGAGAGCAGAACAAACACCTAGCTGTGGGAGTGTCACCCACCTGAGGGAGGGGCTACTGCCCTTTGTGATGTCATGAAGGGAAAATCTCCAAACGGCCTATTTGAGCACACGTTTTCTGAAAAGTGGAGCAGGCAAAAGACGGAGAGGATGGACTTTTCTCATAACTGGGGGGTTTGTAGACGGACTAGGGACACATATTAGTGTTAGAATAAAACATGAAGGGTTTTTTGCTTAATTTTTGACCTTTAATAAAACTGTCCCGCTCCTATGAAACTAACTTAAAAACCCTCTTGAGTATTGCCTACAATGAAAAGAATAAAAAGTGTGAGCGCAGTGAAACGGTTCAAATATCCTGCGTGATGGATTTCATCAGAGTGGGTTAAGCTTTGGGAGGTAAAAGAAGTTTAGAGTGACATTATATCTGATGAAATTAGCCAAACTCCCTGTTTAACATTCCCCCATTTAGACGCTGTAATAAAAGCAGCAGATGGTAACTTTTAATTAAAAGCCAATGAAACGCGCGGCTAAAAATAACTCGGCAAGTATTGTGGTTCATTATGTAAGCAAACCAAATTAAAGGTATCAGTGAATCATCCTGTCCGTGTCTTTGTTGTGTGCAGGAAAGCCAGTGATGATCGTCATCGAGTACATGGAGAACGGCTCATTAGACGCTTTCCTCAGGGTGAGTATCACCTTTCGATCGCCCAGGAGGCTCAAAGCAGTATCTTTTCCAAACTTTTTCTTGTGCATTTGCTGGAAAGAGTCCCAGACAGCAGGCAGTCTGCAGCAGGATCTGTGCATCGTATAAATATCATAAATCTTTAGTGCTGGAGCTGCTGCAGTGCTGTGACCTACATTCCCCTCCTGGTCAGTGAAGATGGCTGACCTGTCTGTGTTTTTTCCTTGTTGCCGCGCAGAAACACGACGGTCAGTTCACAGTCATCCAGCTGGTGGGCATGCTGCGGGGCATCGCGGCGGGGATGAGATATCTCTCCGATATGGGATACGTCCATCGAGATCTGGCTGCACGGAACATCCTTGTCAACAGCAATCTCGTATGTAAAGTGTCTGACTTCGGCCTGTCAAGGGTGATAGACGACGATCCTGAGGCTGTCTACACAACAACTGTGAGTCAATTAAAGCTCTCCCTCCCTCTCTCTCTCTCTCTCTCTCTTTCTCTCTTTCTCTCTCCTCCAAGAACCCCCGTCTGAATTCTCTAATCAAGTCTCAGCCGGTGTATGAAAATAGAGCAGGAGCACCGGTGCACGCCCGAGTAGTCTGCACCATTTTAACATGCAAAACAAACATCGTCTGAGTGCAACTCCCTGACAAGACACCCGTTTATTAAAGGTGTATTAGTCGTGACCAATTCTATATTACTGTAGAAGCAGAGTAGGGTGATCTGACACGACTTCACCAACTACCTGCAGTGCATGGAGAGGGTCATCCAGACCCTGATGAAGGCCACAAGCATCATACTTTAAGTGTTACTGGAGCTTTCTGACCTCTTTAAACTCTATTATAAATGGGTCGCCTGTGGGTGTAGTCCTCGAGGCGGACAGGCGGTCAGGGTTCAAATCCAACCTGTAGCTCCATTCCCCGCATCTCTCAGTGTCCCTGATTTCCATATCCACTGTCCTGTCTCTGCAGTTAAAGGCATAAAAAGCCCCCCAAAAAGAAATCTTAAAAAAACAACCTTTATTATAAATTATAAAAGCTTTAATAGATCCGGCTTAGCCATTAATAACTTTGAGTTCTGTTGAGGGTTAGTCTTCTGTTTTCATGTTACTAAGCCCTCAAAAGAAAACAAAGGTTTCCCACAACAGTTTAATTCCTTTAATAATCATGTAAATAGTTCCAACAATGTGAAGAAAGAAAAGTATCAACCATTGCTCAACTTGTCATAAAGTCCGGGGTGCGGGAGATCCTAGCGGTTATGTCGTGCACCCCATGTACAGAGTCTGTAGTCCTCATGGCAGCGGTCATAGGTTCAAATCCGACCTCGTCCCTTTGCTGCATGTCACCCCCCACTCTCTCTCCTCCAGACATTTCTTGTCTCTCTTCAGCTGTCCTGGCAAAAGGCAAAAAAGCCACAAAAAATGAAAGCTTAACATGTCATAAAGTTGTTGGTTGATGTGTGTAACACTGTTTGTAACACTTTGTGTTTTTAGGGGAAGATGAAGGATATAATGAATGTGATCTTTACTCCAGCCACTGACCTGCGTTTTACTGAACAGGGGGGCAAGATACCGGTCAGGTGGACGTCGCCAGAAGCCATCCAGTACCGTAAATTCACCTCTGCAAGCGACGTGTGGAGCTACGGCATCGTCATGTGGGAGGTCATGTCCTACGGGGAGCGGCCTTACTGGGACATGTCCAATCAAGATGTGAGTGACCACCTGATGTGGAGATGTTTTAAGTTCTGTGTGTCCTAACAAAGCATCACAAAGCTTTTAGAAATGAACATGACTCCAACACTAAAGACGCCGTCTAAACTAGTGCATTCATTAGGAGGTTATCATGTTTCCCCTAGATTCCTCCTCTAATTATCCCTGATGAAGTCATCTCACTAACACAAGAGAAAATGACATACAAAAAAAAAGAAAAAAGAAAAAAAATCTCAGTTTGTGCTTCTTCAAAGCCTTCTTGGAGGACTCTCGTGAGAAAAGCTCGGCGAGGAGGGTAACCTTGGGCTTAATTAGTTCAAGAAGTCCCGCTGTATTCACGTACTTCGACTACATCTGAAGGAGAAACAGTCCTGAAGTGGGACACGCATTAAAAATGTCCTGAGAACATGGATTTGACGCGAGCGTTAATATGAATAACAGGAGTGGAAAACACTCGTCATGCAGGATGCTTTAGCCTCAAACGTCTTTAAAAGTTTATAATGACTTATGCTAATGGAAACTATTGTGAGTAGCAGCGTTGAACCAATTACACAGCGAGCAAGTCATGCATATTCTGCAGTTTGCATTATTACACTCGCTATGTTATACAAGTCAAGGATGTAATGAAATAGATATACTCTGGATTTAAAGGGGCTTCAGCTTTTGTTGGTGCTTCTTCACATGTGAGGAAACGTTCAATGTGGTTTCCTTTTGGCTTCTGATGAGAAATGAGCCCTCGTTTGATTGGTCGGGGCATATTTTGAAAGGATTGATCTGAGATGAAACGTGCAGGCTGGAGGACAGGAAGTCAAAGTGTAGAGAGGAGCTAAGTGCAAGCAGGGACTGTTCGACTGTGAGGAGCAGGGTTATTATGGATAACAAAAACTAAAGACATAACAAAAACTCAAATGTAAAAAAATTTTTGTCTGAAGTGAAACTAAAATCAAAGCGAGGCATTACCAAAAAAAATTATAACTCACTGAAACTGCTAAAATCAAATGATAGATAAAATGTTTCTCAGTGTTTGTCTTTGACACAAGCAGACTCACCGTCTCTCCTTCAGCTCTGACACGTCGCGCTCAGTGTTGGATGAGCTTGCTGACTGCAAAAGTAAAAAATAGAACTGAATAGGTTTTAGGGTATTTTTTATTGATGTTGCACTAGATATTTCTCTGAACAGTTTACAGAGACAAAAAAAGCCTTTAAATCTGGAGCGAAGGAAAATCTGAGCTTGTGAAAAAAAGTGCACGCTTATAATTTTAGCCGAAGTAGAAAAATCTCCCAACGAGATGAGACTATTTTACTTTGAGAAGGAGGGCTGAAGTGAAAGCTCAAAACTCTGCAGAATGAAGAATATGTATGAGTTACTAGTTTACATCATTATGAGCAACAACAGAGTGAATTCAAGCAGTGAGCGGGTACTGAAGTGTAAAGGGAAATATGACCATATAAAGTAAGAATAAACAATCAGCAAAGTGTGCTCTTAAACTGAAGCACTGTTCTGTTATAAGGATAGAAAAGAAGATAAAAACAAAAACTCAGTTTAAAGCTGAAAACTAGAATTTAGACTTTTAGGGCTAAAAGAAAAAAAAAACACTGTAACTAAACCTGAGAGTGAATTTTAAAAGTGCAGAGTCATGGATCTCATTTGATTTGTAAAACTCAGAAGAATAAACGTGACTCACTCAAGATGATATCTTTTTTTTTTTTTTTTGCACCGTTCATACTTCACCGTCAAGTAAATAGTAAGAGCTCCTGACACAGCCCACACTTTTCATCTCGCCGCACTTCTTTTCACAAATGTCACAAATTGCTTTAATGATTGACTCTCCTGCAGCTCTCTGAGTGCTGCTGCCTGCTTTTCTGCCAACTCCCACTGAGCGAGTCCAACCGTGCCAGACCACTTGAAGCCGTTCCTTATTGTCGGACACTTGACACATTTTGATTGATGGTGGGAGGCGGGCGAGCTCTGGCCTCTAGGATTCCTATATGGCGCCCGCCCGATGTTTAGCATCCACAGCATCGGGGGCTAAACAGGATTAAGATTCCCCAGCGCCGCCAGGCAGAGGCATGCTGATTGAACAGTCCGATGTTAGAAATGCTAAACAAGTTTCCCCGGGTATTAAAGCTGGTGTTTTGACGCCGTGCTACTTGACAGACATCAATGTCAGATATTTTTGTGCTTTGTCAAGATGTCAGCAAACATCCTCTGGGGATGGAGGAAGAACATTATCTGCATTTTTCCCAGCGGTTTTATTGTTTTGACACCTTTTCCCTCCATGACTCAGTCTTGTCTGAGCGGAGCTGACGGGAATAGCTGATGAACGCGAGCAGATGTAGACAGCTCCTTATCCACACAATGAGGGAAGAAATCAAAGTGCCCGCTGATCTCACGACTTTTAACGATCACAGCGATGAACTGCATGCATGATGTGGAGTGACAAGAGATTAAGTTTAAAAGCTCAGTGGAGGCATCTTTCTATTATTCATCAGAGCAGTATAAATATAGTTCCTTCTTAAAAAAAAACACAAACAATGTGGGACATTCGTATCAGGAAAACAAATATCTGCCTTACACCAAACGGCCTTTCAAGCTGTTTCATTGTCAGTGATTATTTACCGATGTCAAAATAAAATGCAAACACTTCCTGCCTTCCGTTCACTATCAGGGTGCATTCACACCCAAGACGTTTGGTCCGTCTGTTAACGATTTGCAAAACATGGCTAATGTTAGCATCGCTAACAACACCAGCCTTCAGTCCTCCTTGCAGGTAAACGTCCACATACCTGTGGTTACAGTGTGTTACACATCGCTCTGGTCGATGTGCCAGTTTAAACCAAGCAGATACCTCCGGTGTTTATAAATGAAGCCAATGCGGAAGTGCAAAATCCTGCAGTTGGTCGAGTGTCCACTTGAGGCTGGCTGCAGAAGCACAGGAAGTCACATACACACCCATTCAAAACAGCACATTTTTATAGCAGAAATGAACATTTTTAAAGCCCGGTACAAAAAATGAAATAGTTCTGATTAGTTATTGTCATCATGAGCACACACTCCTTCGCCTCCTGGCAATGTTTAGTAATTTGCAGCTTCCTGCTTGGTGCTGTTGAGACCGTGCAGATTGGTTTGTTGGTCACATCGTTGAACAACAACTTGAATAAGACAAGATTTAAGACCTGCTATAAAGATTGGTTTTATTGTAAAGGCAGGACAAGAAACTTACTGCCTTGAGACATCTCAAGCCTCTGCGGAAGCCAGTGAAACCTCTTACATTGGCTCTCTTCTCCCAGCCAAGAGAGCGACCCTTGCCTGGCAGCCCTGCAGCGTTCTGTCCCCCTGCAGGCTTCCAGAGAGCTAGCCATGAGAATAAAGTGGGCACTTTGGGAGGTGGGCCTTAAAGAGACAGCAGGTGAAATGAACAGTTTCAGGCAGAGGCTAAAGTTAAGGATTTTCATGACGCCAGTATCAGATCAACAAGAAGTTTGTTGAGCTGCAAAAAATGCAAAGCGCCTCTTTAGGTTTCACAGACTGACGACATGAAAAGGTGGACGTGAGGAGAACATGGACAACATCTTTAAGTTCAGTGTTTTGTTTTGTCATTCGTCTGTACTGTGTGGTCATGCTGGCTCTTTAAAGAAATAGCAGTAAACTTGTAAGCTAATGCCATGAGTTGGAATAACACAGGAATAAACCAGCATCTGATGTGATTATTCTTTTAAACTTACAGAACAGAATGTCCTTTTCTTTTGAGAAATGCTTCTATAGTCAGCACAGTAGTTATGAATTGAAATATATAGAGCATGGCATTTGGTAGCATCACCAAACGATCCTCTTGCCCAGTACGGTGACATGTCCAGCCCAATTTCTCAAAAAAAAACAAAAAAAAAAACATATATCACAGGAAAAGTTCATTTACAAAATCCCATAACAAAAAGTTCCATTTCCAAAATCCCTTCAATTCATGTTGACATCGAGTTTAATCTTTAGCCTGTCATTCAGGATTATCAGTAAAATCATAAAAATCCATTCTACAAACTTTAAAGTCCCCCAGGAAACCGAGACGATAGTGATTAATGAGCCAGTCTTCTAAAGAGTTTGTTAAAAGCCTCCCTGCTGTGTTCAGCACTTCCTGGCAGCAGGTGATGACTGTGATCAAACCAAGGCTAAATAAAAACTCAGTAACTGCGGTAATGTGCCTGAACTGAAAAAAAGCCTTCTTTTTTATTTAAAGTGTTAGGATGGTTTCTAATTCATGATACTAATGACTCCTTCTGTTTTGGACTGTCCAGGTCATAAAGGCGATAGAGGAGGGCTACCGTCTCCCCGCCCCGATGGACTGTCCTCCAGGACTGCATCAGCTCATGCTCGACTGCTGGCAGAAAGACCGAGCCGAGCGGCCCAAATTCGATCAGATAGTGGGCATCCTCGATAAGATGATCCGCAACCCCAACACTCTGAAAACCCCGGTGGGAACATGTACGAGGTGAGGACATTTTTGAAATGTTCAACTTTAGCCTGAGCCCATTAGTGGATGATTTAGCCTCCGTAGTTCACAGATGAGAGATAAATCCCCGGGGAGATCGATACCCCCAAAGCAGCTTCCACGGCTTTATGGTCAATGGCAGGGGCGTTTAAATCAATCACTGTAATGAGTTCCTGGTACTTTAAAGTGCAGAGGGAACTCCAGCCCTCACTCCCAACGTTTGTCAGATGAATTCGTTTGCAGTCAGAACGTACTTTCCAGAGGTGAGATTTTGTCGACTCACGAGGTCACAGCTGGTTAAAAAGCTCTTTTATTATACAGAGCGTGCACGGGGCGGACGCATCAAGATTTGTAAAGATATTGACTAAAATAGTTTTCAGAAGCAGAAAGCTCACATGCTGTTTGTGACATTCTTATTGATTGAAGCCTCCAATCAGACACTTTTTTCCCTCCACCCTCTTGTCACAGTTTACCGCCCCGCTGGAAGCCTTTGGTCGTAGCTCTTTGTCTCTTTCTCCTGCTTGATTGTGTTTTCAGCCGAATGTTTCCCCTTTCACATAAGACATCAACATCTTTTTTTTCTGTGCTCATCCCGCAGACCAATTAGTCCGCTGTTAGATCAGAGCACACCAGACTTCACCGCTTTCCGCTCAGTGGGAGAGTGGCTGGAAGCCATCAAGATGGAGCGATACAGAGACAACTTCACAGCAGCTGGCTACAGCTCCCTGGAATCTGTGGCCAGGATGTCAATCGAGTAAGTAGATATCGAGTGGGTTCGGCATCGGCGGAAAACATTAACACCGTGCCAAATCTCAACCACACTTCACCATCGTATGTCACAACTTGAGTAAACACATCTACTCGCTTGCATTGTGCTTCCATGTGGAGTTTTCATAGACTTCTTCTGATGTTTGCCTCTTTTCTGTAACTTATTATATACATTTTCAAACAGCAGGCTTTCCCTTTAATAAACCCTTATGGCAGAGGCAACAGGATTTACTTCAAGCTGCACATTTGAACCGTGTATTCCCATGCATAGCTTCAATGACAGAGCCATGAAATATTTGACTATCGTCCCTCGTTTGAGGACGTAAATGACGAGAAAAAAAGGTACAAACAAGATCAAGGCAAACTTTTGTGTCCCTAGGGATCGAATCAGAAGTGATGTGCACTTTGTGCGGGAAATATGAAATATTTACAACAGCATCCTTATCCAGCATCTTTTTGATTGTTTCTGATGTTGTAGGAGTTCTTTGGCGATATATAACATCAACATATTTCAAACAGTGTCCTGTGTGTTCAGGGTCAAAGTCAAAGGAGAGAAGTTAAATGAGCCGGCTCGTGTTCGGTCTATCTGAGAGTAAAGACTGAAATCTGCCTACAGGTGCACCTACCTTTTTAAGGCGATTCAGAGCTTTCACATGGTTTGATATATGTTATGCTTAAAACACAACTATGTATATTCAAGGGACTTGATCCAACCTCTCCAACCTATGCACCTAGCTTTGCGCCCAGAATGTTCACTGCGTTACTAGCACACACCCCAAATCCCTTGGCGCCACGCTCTTTAGACAGCGTTCTTTACACCTTCAAAAAAGGGCCCTTAATGTTCGTCAATGGAGACTTGTGGCTTTGAAGAGAAGGATGTAAGGGCTGTCTCCTGTTTAAGAAAAAATATTCTAAGTCTATCGCTACAGCTCTCAAAGCTAGTTTCTCTACTGTAGCTAATAGTCAAATAGTCATTTACAACCCTGAAATATGCAGAAAACAGAGCCAAGATTTAGTAGCAGAAAGACACTGTGCACTGATTGAAAATCTCCCTTGATAAAACCGGTTTGATGCTCAGTAATCATCTGTTTTATTCCGTTTGTTGGGCTCAAGAACTTTAAAACAAGACATGTGAAATAAAAGGTATTCACCGCGCCTCCACCAAATTACAATCTTAAATGTCTCGACATTTCCCGTGTCATGAACTCGTGTGAACTCGACACTGTTTGTTACATTCTTACCGGTTGAGAGAATATGAACATCAGCCCAGACTGTGGTTTGCTCGGAAGTTGTTGCTCAAGAGCTTTCCAGTGACCAAAAAATGTCAACATCCGTCTCCACATTCTCGTGATAAAAGCACAAGGTTTTCAATCGTTCCAAACGTACTTCCAAAGAAATGAAGTTTTACACCGTTAAGTCCAGTGTGTCAATTACATCCAAGGGAATCATTCAGGGGTCATTTTTTAAAAGCTGAGCCATATTTAGACATACTTTAGTTTCTAATTTACTGAATGAGATTAAATGGTTCCAGATTACTCAACTGGACCGATTCATAAACCACCAAAGATGCAAACTTTGAGGGCCAATGTGTCAGATCAAATTAAGTCCACTAAAAGTGTTTACCATTTACATAACAGATGTGAAATCTAAGAACAGTTTTGCCCATGAGTCAGCTCAACACCACTCTCTCCAAACCGACCAGAGTCCATTGACAAAAACAACCATTTTACCTCGGAAGACAAAAAAAGATGACCTTTCCTCTGCTGCCATGATCATTCAGGTTTCTGTCTCTTTGTTGGACTATGTTTTTGAAATGGTTTGATCTAACCCATTTCATGTGTAATACACAATAAGAATCGAACAGAATATTTAATGGTCAGAAGAGAATCATCTCGTGGCCTGCAGATGAAAATTACTGTTTTTGTCAATGGAGTCTGGTGTCTTTGATTCAAAAGATATGCTACTACTGCTTGTGGTTTCTAAATAAACATCTTAGCTCTTCAAAAGGTCGGTCTCTGTAGGGATTCTAGTGATTGATAAAAAGACTCATAAAGAAGTGGGCCGTGTTTATCTACCTTTCTTACTCACAATAATGGAAAAAAATCAGAGGCCGTAAATCTCACTTCTTGTCTCTCTCTCTCTCTGTCTATCTCTCTCTCTCTCTCTGGTCCACTGCATTGATTGATGTGTGTTGTCCTGTTCTCCAGGGACGTGATGAGCTTGGGGATCACGCTGGTGGGCCATCAGAAGAAGATCATGAGCAGCATACAGACTATGAGAGCCCAGATGCTGCATCTCCACGGGACGGGTGTCCAGGTGTGACGGACTGCCACGCGCCACACATGACGGGGGCTTAAAAGCAAGAAGCAGAAACTTTCAAAACCTGGAGCAGTGCCTGGGACGTAAAACCTGGGATAATCGTCGAAGTTAAAAACGGACATCTGTCGTGTCTGACTCCTCCGGCCTTGTCTGGAGTGAAATCATTCCTTTGTTCCTCAGTGAAAGATTGTGAGCTTCCTCTGCAAAAGGGCACTAAAGGAGGAGAGGAGAAGGGGGGAAAAAACGGCAACAAAAAAAAAGAAACTACCTGGATGAGAAGACTTCCTGTTTGGTTTCTTTTTTTTTTTTTTCTCATGTGCGCTTATGAACTCGACCACATATCAAGAGGCGCACATTATGAGTTTGATGCTTACCTGTCTTTAACTCAACGAATGACTTGAGTGCACACCATGGCTTTGGATTTCCTTTTACATGAACAAAAAGACGTCTAGCCGTGGTTTCACTTCTTTTTTTTTTCTCCAATTTGTTAGTTTTGTGAGTTGTTTTTTTTTTTAAATCTCTTCTCTTTGGACTTGACAACAGGGTAAACTCTTTTATCCAAACGCAGAGGAACTTTACGGTGCAGATTCAAAAGGTACTTTTTTTGTGTGTGCACATGCTGGACTGTTTGCAGTGACTTGTGTTTTCCCTACATGTGCTGTTGAAGTGACAATGGTGACCTCACGTGCTCGTTTAAAGCCGACGAAAGTGGGTTTTTTTCTTTCCTTTTTTAATAATGAAATGTCTGAAGAGTGCAACACTGAGGAGACACAGGAGTGCAAATTGTTCTTCGAATTACCAGACTTTTTCTATAAGAGTAGCAATATCCTTTGTGTTGTGTTCACTACAGGAGACGCAGAGCGGGAATGTCGACGCACTGTTGACAGATTGTACTGAAAGCGAAGCTACCGCAAATTGTTTTTTGCCATCATTTTGCCTAAAATGTTGCACACGGTGTATATTTTGGTGCATTATTCAGCTGCAAATACAATTTTTTGTAAAGGGTGGATCCTGGAAGAGTTTAGACGTTATACTGCCTTAAATGTGTTAGATTAAGTATTGCCTCTATTCTAGGCACTTCTATGGCAATGCTTTCTTCTGTGGTTCATTTCAACGGGGGCGGACCAGCTCCCTGTTCTATCTTGTAGTGCGATGTCTTTTTATTCTGGAACTTGAACTGGTGTGATCCGATGCACGGATATATATACGGTTTCAAATGCCACGAGTGACACAGTCGGAGAAGGAGAGGTGGACTTATCAGAGCAATAATTACCAGGTAGAAATGGCCCCTCACCTGAGGTTTTTAAAGGTGCTAGGTTCTATCGCATGTGTGTGCTGTACTGAGAGGAAATCTTCGGAAAGATTCAGTCACCGCTTGAAAACAGGAGAGTAAAAAGGAAATGTATCTCTTTGACCTTAAGAAAAAAAAAAAAAAAGGGGATTTGGGAAGTGCTCAGAAAACTGCCGTGCAAAGTCATCAAATGAAATAATGGTGTTGTGTTTTTTGCCGCTATGATATGCTAAACGTTTGATGGGAATCTAACACGGCGTGGAAGTGTTTAATAAGAGTGGCTGCAGAGATGAAAGAGGCACCGTTCCAAACACTATAAAAGGTGCCAATTAGCCATGCTGACATCATCTTCTGACATTTGTGCGCCGCCCCAAGAAAAATCAGAGAGCCCCCTTCAGGGTTCGGGGGTCTTGAAAATGCAGGACCAAACGACAGAGCCCGAGTCAGACATGCTGTTAAATCCCAGCGTCACCGGGCTTTTGCAGGCAGGCCGCGCTTGCTCGCCTTGTTTATTCATGTGACTCCGCCGCTCATCCCTCACAGGCGTAGATGTGACTGAACATGCATTAAAGTGTCTCTTAAGATTGCTCCTCTTTTTCTTCCATACGGCTTTGTATGGAGAACTGAGATGAGAGGGGCTTTGCAGATGATGTGCTAAAAGCCAATCAACCTATTCGGTGCCATCTGTCTCTCCAACTCAAATACAAGAAGGAGAAGAAGAAAAAAGACAGAGAAAGTTTCCACGTTGAATAGAGCATAATTCACTGATAAGAGAATGCCGTTATTCATCTGTCATAGAAAGACGAGTGCTGCTCACAAAAGAAAAACCATTATAATCTGTTCTGCTGCTAAAACATGGGTAATAATCTCGTTCAAAGTCATTTCTTTCAACTTTCCTCATCTCAGATGCACAAGAAATCATAACCACCTACAAGCAGTGACACCATTAGTAGCTCCCTTCACTCTACCTATAGTCGCTGCATCTCTCCATTATGACCCTGTGTCCACTCTACGCCTGTGTAGACAAGATTCAATGAGGAAGATGTACAGTCTGTCTGGAGTCTATTGAGTAAAGCCTGTCCTCTCTGAAAGCGTTGCCTCAGCCCTGATGCATTTGGACAGTAGCACGGCTGCATAGACCGATATGTTCCACAGCACATATTACTTTTTGGACATGTGGATAAAGAGAGTAATATTTGGGACCAGTGTGGTTTCACCCAAAACCATTTCCTGACACCCTCCATTACATTGTGGTGGCACATAATGTGTTCAGATGATGTTTGGGCACTATGCTGAACACAAACACTGGGAAATCAAAGTCAATCCCAAATCCTCCCTAGATGAAGTCAATTCAGGGTGCGGCCCCATGCTAAAAAAAAAGAGACTAGTCTTCATGCACTTAGCATAAAATTGTATCCATATCATGAAGTGTGAATATGATCTCACTGCCTTCAGTAATCATTTTCACTGATGTGGCAATCTTTTTTATAAAAAGTCACCAACCTACTTTTGTGGCCTAAACATAATCGAGTAGTTTTCATCACACATTAAAAGTTAAGCTAGTCTTGTTGTCACAAACTTAATGACGTGTACTGTACATAGACTCACAACACAACCTTTTGATCTTAACCGAGCCAAGTATTTTAGGTGTCAGAATCCGAGGCCATTTTCCGTAAAGCACGTAATGATACCACTACTTACTCGTACCCAAACCACCATCTTCTTTTTGTTAATGTCACCATTTAGTTTTAGTGCCTGAATGCAAACAAATAGATTTTCATTACACGTTACATAAGCCGTTCTCACATGTGCATAGAGTGCCTGTCGGACATCAGGGGGGGCGGGGTCACCTGAGACGAGACATGATGTACGTCGAACAGAAGAACAGCGCAAATAGAAAACTTCATGCAGCAGTTTAATTTTGTTCTCCTGATTATATCTTGCTGCGTTCTCACATCAGCTCACTCGGACGTGGTAGAGAAATTCAGCTGTCGGTGTTCACACATGTAGATCACACCAGAAACTTGGGAGTTGCTGTGCAAGTGTGAAAGCAGCTAGAGCACTCAAAGTAACATAATGTACCGTATATGAAACTAAACTGACTTAAGGACTCATTTAAACACAAACCACAATCTTTAGTTTTCTACACTTAACTGATTCTCATGTAATGTAAACCTTTTTATAAAGATGTGTGACCTCACCAGACGTTGACCACATTCTAAACACTTCCCCCATGTGCATTGGGAGTTTGCATTGACTTTGTTTCTCAGGTGTTGGGAGCTAGTTTTGACACGTTACATGCCACCCGTCCCTGAGATTACTGAAGACAAATGAACTGAAAAAAGGTCATTAAGATGCATGTCTTTGTAGACGCGTACAGTGCTGCAGGTTTATCCAGCTTAGTGTGGCTGTGGATCCATTTACACTGTGGGACTCACCTTTGTGAGGAGACACCAGGAATTAGCCCTGATCGGCTTTGAGCCCCCCGTGTCACACACACCCCTCCCTTTATCCATACAGCAGAGCTCAGCAGTTGGGCCTTGGCCAGACCTTTGAATTGAATACAGGCATAAAAGTCATTCAGTCAGCACAAACCCCCCCCCCCCCCCCCCCCCCGTTCACAGGCAGCACTCTCCCTCACCCTCACTCCCTGCTCTGATTTTAAAACTGGTCCTCTGGAGGCCCCTCACACGCTGGGGCAGAAAGCTCCGTCCCAATTTTTTTTTTCTGCGCTGGACGAACAGCGGTTTGAGCCAAATTGAGATTAAGGCCAGGATACAATCGATTTCCATGTCCAAATCACCTCTAACCTTCAGCAACAACAAAAAAAAAAGTCACTTTACTGTCTGTCTCATCCACATCTTAAACTTCAGGTTGCTCAACTCTGGAAATTAAACTTTTTGTTGTGACTATTTCAGCAAAAACACAAAAAGAAGAAAAAATGTAAAGAAAAAGAAGAAAAAAAAGACACAAAAAAACAGAAGCGTGCAGGATGTAGAGGTTCAGTTGGAATCAGGATTAGCAGATAGAGTATGAAGTTATTTTTCAAATCTTGTGGTTCAGCAGTTGGAAATTAGCGTCACCGCTTTGGGCGAGGTGGTGGATAATTCCAAAGAGTGCAGCACCGTTGATTGTGTCCGAAGGAGCCGAGATTTGAGGGAATCTTTGTATATGTTCTAATTGTAAAACTTGTACATTTTATTTATATTGTTTTTTACACATATTACTCAGTAGAGAGCTCTGAATACATTGAAAATGCACTATATTTTTCTATCTCGCAGAGGAATTATTGTCACCCACAAGATTTCAGTTGTACATAATGTTTTCATTTAGGACCAAAGACAGCTGATAGGATTTCCATCTTTACTCTGACCTTGTTTTGATTTTTGCCTTTTAGTTCGTTGTACAGTGATTCAAATTGTCAATTTATTATTTATTTTTCTGTGATGAAAGTATTGAGATTCACTGGTATTTTCCCCAACAACAGAACTGTAAGATCATTTAATTAGACGATTTCTTGTTACATAGACAATTCTTTTTGCTTTGTAACCTTTGTAATAGACTGTACATATATTTTTGGAAATATAATACAATCTCTATAGAAGTTCTGGTTGTCCGTTGCATTGTTTTTGCATTCATCATTTACAGTTGTCTGTTCATTTTTCATGTATAATCTTGTGATAAATCTGTTTGAGATTTGGTTATATGTAAGGCTTACTATGCAGTTCTCAAAGCTGATTTTCAGACAAAAACAGACCTTCTCTTTGGACACACCTCCTTCATCCCTCTGCTCCTCACGTCCCTTCTGTTTCACCAGCAAGTGTCAGAGACAGAGCGTGGAGAAAAGTACTGAAAAACATCTGAAAACAAAATCCTTTGATCAATCTCAAGCAAGCGGCAATCCCCGGAGTTAAAAAATGAAGCAGATGCAGAAGTGTAAAATCCTGCAGTTTGTTGAGTGACCACTAGAGGCTGCCAGCAGAAGTCACATACACATCCATTCAAAAAAGACATAAAAAACATGTTTAAAGCCTAGTTAAAAAAAAAAAACATTTTAGGGGCGCGCTGGTGGAGCAATGGTTAGGGCGCGCGTCCCATGTGTTGAGACTCTCGTCTCGAGCGGTAGGCCTGGGTTCGCTTCCACCCGTGGCCCCTTTCCGCATGTCATTCCCCACTCTCTCTCCCGGGTTTCTGACTCTATCCACTGTCCTCTCTCTGCATTAAAGGCACGAAAAGCCCAAAATAAATCTTTAAAAAATAAAAAAAACATTTTATTCACAGTGCTTCAGCTGAGTTTATCACAGGGTCACTTCTTAGAAGGCTATATTGCTGTTTGCATTATTTCCCATCATGCACCTGGTGGAAAGAGGCAGCTTTTGGCAACAGTTGCTCCTGAGTGAGCTGTATGAATTATCTACAGTGATTGATGCTGTCACATTAGCTGGTTTAGCATTTCAGTTAGAAGGCTGTTAGTGAGGCACTTTCACTGTTTACATAGAGAACTGGTTAAACATCGTGTCCTAACAAGCAAGCATATCGAGTCACATTCAGGAAGGACAAGGTGCCCGTCATGTTTACTACCAAACCTGTTTGCTGCTTCCTGTTTGGTGCTGGAGAAAGTGACCCAATTGGCTGTTGACATAGTTCAATTATTTTAAGTAATACTTGCCAGCACCAAGAATCTGATTTTCTTCAAATGTGAGGACAAGATAAAGACTGACTTGTGACAGCGGAGAGTTAAGAGTTTTCTAAAATCCATTACTCAAACCATTGACATTCATTTTCCATACTGGAAAATTGGGGGCATCAGAGGAAATAAGCCACAGTTTTATTACAGAGCTGGCTTCTGGCTCCCAGAAATACAACAAGAGAAGCCAAGGGATCCTGGATTTAAGGTCCTGTGTCCATTGATGGCACTGTTTGCACTGGGAGCGCCCCTAAGTGTTTTCAGTATTCTGAGCCCGATAACACCCTCTCTATTTTTTTCAACTTTTGAAACACCTACATGCATGTCAATATCACTTCTCCCTCATCAACCAGTCAAAGTCAAAAAGGGGCGGGACTTCTGGTATCAGCTTTGACAGTAACAATGGCGGAAGAGAAACTGAACTGACTCTTCTTTTTGAGGGAACCATGTCCAGGTCTAGAGCTGCTCGCTAATGCCCGGACAAGATTCCTTTACATTATTTTCATTTTTTCTTGGTGATATTTCTGTCTATAAGAGCGATTATTAAGCATACACAGCTTTTTAAAACAGACCCAAAGGTATGTACCAAGAGAAGTGAGAGTTAACTTGTGGATCAACCACAATCTTGTCTCCTTTTTATTTGGCAGCAGAGTAGATTAACATTTGGTAACAGCTTTTATAGTTTATTACCACTGAGAAGGTTTTTAGTAGCAGTCAGGTGAAAACACAAACATGTTGATAACACAGGCACATACGTAGACGCAGGTACAAAAACATAAAAATACATACATCAAGTGACACCAGGATACAGAGCGTATGTAAACTGGCATTAAAACATCATCCGTCATCAGGAGGGCACTTACCCTCATTCAGTGTTGGATTCTTTTTGTCCTTGTTCAAACAGGCACCATTGAGGTTTGTGAGTGTGCATGTAAGACCGGTGGACACACTATCCAGCTTGTTTGAACACGCAGACATGATAAGTCAGCCAGAACCGTCCAAACAGTCCTCCAAACTCCTCCAGTTTTCTACTTTAATCTTCCAGAAACTTGGACTCTTTGATGATGCTCGGATACATTTCCCCTGATCACATCTTTCAGCAGTTGCAGTATTTATTTTCTGTAAGTCCAGCTTTGGCCTCACATATGCTGTCTCCATGCCTGCTGCTGAGTCTCTGTGAAACTCATATTTGGATTTCTTTTCTCGTGGCTTCCTTCCATTTGTTTCTCTGTGACTTCTCCTCACTTCCCAGTAATGTAAGCTCCACAATCTGATCCTAATGAAACGGTAAGATCATGGAAAAAGTTTGAACATGCAGGAGGATAAAGTGCTGTGGTGCCTTGTTTAGAGCCTGGCTTCAAAATCTTAAGACGTTCACTCAGCTTTATAGTCGTTTGAATAGGTACTCCTAATCTGTCACTAGTTATGAATCTCTTTAGAGCTTCTCTGACATCTTAGATTACGTCCAAGAAAACTCAGAATAAAGCCGCTTTCACATTCGCACTCCTGAAAATATCTAGATAATTTCAGGAGGACTGATCCTGATAGTCTCCTTACTGGCTGTTCACAAATGCACCTCACAGCGGGAGATTATCCCTGTCAGACTGGAGGGGGGCGAGGGGTCTCCCGAGGTAAATAAACCAATATGGAATTAGCGGCCGGAGTAAAAGAGTCTGCTTTACGATGCTATCATGGCAATGTTTATCTTTAAATCAATGCTATGTGTAGTTTAACAGAATGAAACTATCAACAAGAGTGGAAAACTACAAACTAAACATATTAACAAACAGAGAACATAATGCAGCAGTTTAATTACATGCACAGAGATCGCAGTGGTCGCGTGCATACACTCTATACACCATGCAGCAGTGGCAGGATATAAACGTCACCCCCCCTCCTATTGGCTCGTGGTGAATTCTTCGGAGAATATCCTGCTGCGTTCTCACATCACCTCACTCTGATGAAAGACTGCGGGAAAAATATACTAGGGATCTGGCAGGAGAAACTCCAGGGAAGTCCGAACGATGTTTGACTTTATGCGTTCACACATGCAGCTCCTTCTGGAGTTTATAAGAGTTTGTGTGAAAGCCCTATAAGAGAGACGTGGCTTCATTAGTCCTTTGCTTGAGAACAAAGACACCTAGGGGGGTTTCGTTCAGCGATGACAATTCTAATAATGATACCATAAACAAAGATTAATTTCAATAAAACAAAATTAATATCTGTTAAAACATCGTATTGCTGGATTAACGACAGAACAGATTTCAAATAGCTCACCGAGGCTTCATTTATTTGGTAGAAATTCATTCCAATGAACAATTTGTTTTATAACTTGGCTGGAAACTTAAATAAAAGAAATGCAAAAACAATTATTAAATTTCATAACTCAATTTCACAAAAATTATCATATGAAAGGGGAAGGATAGTTTTGGGACACATACTGAATGGATCGTGTTGGAAAATGGTTTACTCAATTTGCTGTCAATAGTTAAGTTTCCATCATATTTTAATTAAACCAAATCTCCAGATGTTCATTTTCACAGAATGAATTCTGAATTCATGTTTGTTAATTTGCCAATAGTAGCAGTTGGTTCGTTGAGATAAAAACCTTATTATCTAAACTCTTGCAGGGGGACAAGAGGACATGACCAGGGGATACAATTAAACAAGCTCCAGTCGAACCACAAGGGATGAAAACAAAAATGGAAGGACTGTTCACAGAACATGTCAATTTGACCCCCCTCACAATCTAAAGATGTTGACATGCAAGACTCATCATCCTTAAAACATGAATACACTCAAACACCAAAAAGCTTTGCTCACTGGAGATACTTAAGATCAGGGGCGTGTCAAGAGGGGTGGCCAGAAATCTGATTGGTCGGAATCGGGCCTAAAAACTGGTGTATCCAGCCTTAGTCATATTTTTTCCCCATTAACAAATCATTTTTCCGACCCTGAGCTACATGAAAGGTGGATGAAACCACTCCGTATTGAGCTTAGAGAAAGACAAGGCCAAAACCTGGATGTGAAACATCATCTCTGTAAGCATTGTGCATTTGAATGAGAATACTTTCCACATGAGACGACTGACTTTGTTGTGTCGAAGGTATTTGAAGAGAAGGAACTTGTTCCAACCTTTCATCAGAGACAAAAGAGGCAGTTAAATGTTATCTCTGAGGTCTGAACACCTGCACATCTTGACACAGTGCAGTGAGAAAGATACAATAGGTTTTTTTTGCTCTTAAATATTTTAACAAATTCAAAGCAGGTACAATACAAAGAGGGCTTTGTCTGCTTTTTTTTTTTTTTTTTATCTCTCCAGCTCCTCTGTTTTCACACTGTCACGGTTTGATCTGTGTCAGTGAGTGTGCTTTACTTTAAAGTGGTGGCCCTCCCTAAAAGCTTCAGGTTGAACGGGTCACAACATGCAGCTTACCGACAACAATAAGTGAAACACCACCTCAAAGTCAGTGGTAGTACATATGCCAACAACTGACAGTAACATAATACAGAGAGAAAGGAGAGTCTTTGAGAAATAGGGACACATTATCAATCATGTAATGGATTGATTTATCATTTCTATCATACACCCTAACCCTACCCTTATATTGCTTCCCTTATGTTAGATGTTACAGTGCTTGTCATGTAGATTTTCGTAGGTTGTCATCATATTAAAAAATATGGTGCTGTTGTTTTATGGGCGTCATCAGGTCATCTTGTCTTGTTTTATATTTCCTGTTTTATTTTGTCTTATAAATTAAAATCTTTCATATTTGGTTTCCTGTGTCCCCCTGTGTGTAATTTTATTGTAATATTCCTTAGTTAAGTCTTTTGTGTTTCCTGTTTTAATTTCAAAGTTCTTGCCCCTTGTGTGTTACGTCTTGCTTAACGTTCTGTCTGTTATTCCAATAGACTGTAA